TCCGTATCTGCAATAAAAACATTTAAACTTTTAAAATAAGACTGAACCTTAGAAACCCAGAAGTCCTTAAAGAAAATAAAAAGGCTAATTTCTAAAGAATTCTGAAGTAGTAAAGTGTGTTACTCCTTCAAATACTGTGCAGTAAGATTTAAAAGGAAACATATCCATTCAAAAAATGTATTTTTTTCAACTATGAAGTCTACTCATTATGAAACTGTAAGCCCTCAGACCCCTGCAGTAACTGAAAATTGAAGAAATTTATTCTTGTGGATTTTATGCATCTGCTTCATAGATATAAAGTCAGTTAGACGATCAATGAATAAACGTTACACAGCAACTCCAGTCGGAAGAGTAATTAAAGAAAAAAAACAATGAAGAAAGTCCTGGCAAGAGTCAAAGGAGAAGGACAATACATATATGTGTATTTAGTATACTTTTAAAGTTGACTAGCTTTAAAATTTACCCGGTAATTTGGCATCAGTCTAAGATACTCAGTTCAAAAGAGCCTAAAGAACTCTGAATGGAGTCCTATTGTCATATTTAAAAATATTATAATATTTAAAAATGTATGCATTCGATATCCAGTACATACTTGTGCTTTAATAATACTCAGTCTAAACTTCTATTTTAAATATATACCTCTTTGCACATGACCTTAAGAGTTACATACAAAACAGGAAGACATGTAACCTGAGAAAGTAACAGGCTTAAAATGACATGCTGATACTGACCTTTGAAGTAACAACTGACGGAAGTTCCCACTTTGTGGGCTAATGGTTAGATGGTGAGATAGATAGTTACACAACCTTGCTCCCATGTAGGAAAAATTTGGGACAGATGTGGCCTTCCAAAATAAAAGTGGAAAAAAATTATTCATAACACTCATGATTAGGCTATCTGGAAATATCTTTAAAAGCTTTTTGAAAACTGTGTTTAACAACAGTTGATTAGACAAATGAATAGAAGTTTAGTAATTACTATTTATCATGTTAATTTTTGTATCACTTTGCTACGTGCACTTCAGCACTTAAAAGTTCATTATACTATGATTTTGTGGCTTTAAGAAAACCACCACCATTATGCCATTGTCCTCAACTCTACTTCTCCACTGTGACCTACAACCAAAGAGTGTCTGAAAGTCACTTACAAACAGTTTATACAAAAAAAAAAAAAACACAAAAAAAACCTCAACAGTGGCCATTAAGACAGACACGCACTCTCTCAAGAAGCAATTAGCACATTACAACAAAATGAAAAAGTCGCCTTCATTCAGTCTAAACTCACTTATCCCAGAATCTATTTTTGGCCATATTCAATGCCCAGGGAAAG